GTTTTGATGAGAGGAAGAAGAAGAAGGTTTAAGGGGTAACTATTATATTTCATCACAGAAAACTGTGAAGGGGTAACTATTATATTTCATGACAGAACTCAAAGGGGGGGGGGAAACTATTATATTTTATCCCATAAAACAATTGTATTTAATAATTTCACTAGATTCTGTGAAAGTATCCTTTATAAGAACATTGCATTAACTTGTAATTATAAAATAGAATATGGCATTAAAGTGTTATTTGATTATTACTGTAATTAATTATGTAATTACATAAAATCGTGCAACTCGGCCAAATGATGGCATCCTAAAGTAATATAAGTAAACTAGGTTTCAGGGGGCAGGGTTGGGGACAGGTGGCGAAAATTAACCACCCCTTCAAACTTTGTTTCTTCCATCTAGCCTTCGATCTTAAAATGACCACTTCGAATTTTGTTTCTTCCCTCTAGCTTTCGATCTTTCCCTTGCGTTTTGATGAGAGGAAGAAGAATAAGAAGGATTAGTGTTTTGATGAGAGGAAGAAGAAGGTTTAAGGGGTAACTATTATATTTCATCACAGAAAACTGTGAAGGGGTAACTATTATATTTCATGACAGAACTCAAAGGGGGGGGGACTATTATATTTTATGACAGAAAATTATGAAGGGGTAACTATTATATTTCCTGACAGAAAACTGTGAAGGGGTATTTATTATATTTCATGATAGAACTCTGAGGGGTAACTATTATATTTCATCCCATGAAACAATTTTATTTAATAATTTCACTAGTTTTTGTGAAAGTATCTTTTATAAGATCAATGCATTAATTTGTAAATATAAAATAGATTATGGCATTAAAATCTTATTTGATTATTACTGTAATTAATTATTTAATTACATAAATTCATGTAAAATATAATAAATATTGATCTCAGATAATTTTTTTTATTTTTCTATTAAACTTACTTATATATTGACAGTCTTGGTCTGTCCTTCACTGTTGACAACAGTATTGAAGTCGTTAGGTTTGTTGGTGATATAGAGATGAATGCATTAGCTCTGAGGGTGCAGTACAAGGCGGTCTCAGTCAAGCCAAGTTATTCTATTTGATGTTTTCTTGGGGCTCTTTATGTTAGGGTGGTCCCACCATGATCCTTGTGTCATTAGAAGGATGATACCCATTCTTTTTTGTTTCTATTTTTTACTCAGTTAAATCGGTCGTTGTAAACAAGGAAATACATAACTCCAAAAATGGTTTTCGAACTATGAACCAGCAGAAGATATTGACCAACTAAACCAGGACCGTACTGATGCCATACAACATTCAGCAGAGAAAGCAATACCAAAAACAAACCCTACAAATAGACACCACAAAGACTACTGGTTCTACAATGACGACGTCATAGAACAGAATCACAGAATCAATACATTCAGAAGACATCTCCGACAATACCCTTCCTCTGAGGGAGTGAAACTCTTGAGAGCTGCTGTTCAACATGCTCGTCAAATTACGCAGAAAATTAGGGAAGACAAATGGCTCGAGTGGTGTGCAACCTTTAATGCACACACCAGCCTGAGTGAACTCTGGAGGAAACTCAGGATAGCAACAGGAAAACTGCCCAGAGCTTCAGCCCGCCCCCAGCCACTACAGGAAGCAAATCGCTTGGCAGAGCACTTTGCAGAATGCTTGCATCAGCTCAACTACCTCCTGAAATAAGACTTCGTCTACAGCAAGTACAACTGGAGAGAGAAGTAGTAGTCAGACATGCAATTGAACAAGCAGACACTACAGACTGTCTGTTTACTATAAAAGAAATCAGAAGAGCCAGGAAAACAAGCAAAGACACCGCTCCTGGCAGTGATGGTATAACCTATTCATTGCTTAGCAATGCAGGACTTGCTGGTGAACTTGCTCTCCTAACAGTTATAAACGCATCATGGACAGCAGGCAAACTCCCATCAGCTTGGAAAGGAGCAAACATTGTTCCTATTCCCAAACCCAATGATCCCCCGAATTTCAGACCAATATCACTAACAGCATGCATTGGCAAAACCGCCGAAAGGATGGTCCTTACACTACTCCTCTGGAAAATTGGACCACTTCACCGCAATATCTTTGGATTCACCAAAGGTCTCAGCATTGCACACAGTTTGGCCACTCTCCTGGGATCGATTGGTCAAAATAAGGCAATCGTAGTATTCCTTGATCTAGAGAAAGCATTTGAGCTTGCAAATGCACAGGCCATTGTAACCACTCTGGCCTGGAAAGGCGTCAAAGGATACCTACTGGCTTGGATTGCTGACTATCTCCAAAACAGAACAGCAAGAGTTACTTGTCAAGGACAAGTCTCAGATCAGCAAAGACTGAAAAATGGCACACCACAAGGAGTTCTTAGTCCAACTCTCTTCAACATCCTCATGGAAAACTTGTGTCGGCTCCCCTTTCAAGAGGGTACCAAACTGCTGTGCTATGCTGACGACTTAGCACTGATAGTAAAAGGCAGAAACCAAATCATCAAAGTCCAAAGAGCACTAGACCTCCTCAGTGAAGAAATTATGAGGCTCGGGCTCAAGATATCAATCCCCAAATCGAAAGCCATGAGGATTGGACACAATGAGCCAGTGACACAACTTCAAATACAAGGTATTGCCCTACAATGGGTCAATGTATACAAATACCTGGGCATCTGGATTGACAAATGCCTCAAATTTGACACTGAGATAAACTATCTAAGAGACCGAATAGGCAAGAGAGTCAACATGATGAGAGCCATGACAGGACCCAAGGTGGGTGCGGGACATGTAGTCTTAAGAACGCTTTATATACACGCCATTCGATCATTAACAGACTATGCGACACCAGCTCTAACACACTGTCTGAGGGGCAGTGGGCGAAATTAGAAGTTGCCCAGAATAACGCTATGAGAGCCATTGTCAAGGCACCTACTGTATGTGGACAAAAATTGAAAACTTACACATGGAGACAGGTCTCACATCTCTCCAAACCAGAGCGGAACGATTAACAGCGTGCTTTGCAACAAAACTGATTACCAGGGCTCGGGAGGGTGACATCAAGAATGGACTCTTACGAGCACTGAACCTTAACAGAGATGTCTTTAACAAGAAAACATGGCTATTGTGCGCAGCTGACGCTGTAAATCGACTGAAATTGAAAGACACAATCATCAGCAAAGGACCTGATACAATGAGTCCAGACTATAGCACCCCAGCACCGTGGGAGTCCCCGCCAGCAGTCTTCAACATTCTACAAACTGGGACAAGAAAGGCTGACTGTAACCCACATGAGCTCCGACAGATGGCAGAGAGAAACATGAAGGCTCTAACACCTCACAATAGTACAGTGTATTACACAGACGGTTCTGTAGAGACCACCAGTACGAAGGCAGGAGCAGCCTTCACTATAGAAGGAGGTAACACGTCCCTTTGGAGAACCTCAGATGGATGCTCTACTTTGCAAGTTGAGCTAGCTGCCATACTTGGAGCCCTAAGACACGCTTCCATAAACAGTCAACAAGGCGTTGTAATACACACTGACTCACGATGTGCTATTGAAGCACTGCAATGCAGAGAGCATAGAGACAACATTCATCTCATAACATCCGTTATTGGACTACTGCAAGGTTTAAAACTACAAGATCGGCAAGTTATCGTTAACTGGGTGCCCAGTCATATCGTAATCCCAGGGAATGAACAAGCTGATGCTGCTGCCAAGGCTGCGTTAGAACAGCGAAACATCGAGATGAACATCCCGCCCAGTCAGGAGCAGATAAAGAAGACCACAATAACACGAACTGCCCAGTGGAAAATAGAGAAACATAGAAAATTAACACCAGTATCACGATCGGCCAGGTGGTACTATCTGGTCACGAATTATGAGAGACCACCACTCATTAAGGATATAACAAGAAGGGAAGAAGTCAACTTCCACCGACTGAGACTGGGATACCCATGCATTTGGGAAATAATTGTATCAGCACCAGCAGAGCAGCGCATATGCAAGACCTGCCACAGCGGAGCAGAAAACACACTGCAGCACTACTTCATAGAATGCCCTGAAACACAATTAGCTAGGAGAAACATACAACCCCCTATCACAGCAGAGAAGGTTGCCAGAAAGCTAACCACCAACCACTCTCAAGAAACCCTACAGTTTCTTACCGAGCATCCCCCCCCCCCACACTGGTGGCGGTGATGTACATTTTACCAAAAAGACGCTGGTGTTTTATCCCAGCAGTGGGTGGACCAGCATTTTAGCTTAAGGTCCGCGTAGGTAATAATCCTACAAATCAATTAAAAAAAAAAATTCTCCTATTGGCTGTAATTTGGTGGATTAATATTTTAGTCCACCAATCACAGTTATGTAAGGGATTGCTGGACGTCTCCCTGGGAGTGGCCTGGTAGCGCCAGCGCCCCTGGCAGGGTCCCCTTGCGGGCACCACTGACCCTGGCACGCACCCTGGGAGCACCACCATCCTTGGGAGGGCCTCTGGGAGTGCGGTTGTCCTTGGGAGAGCCCCTGAGGGTGCCAGCGCCCCTGGCAGGGCTCCTGGGGGCGCCATCGGCCCTGGCATGGTCCCTGGGAGTGCCGCTGACTCTGGGAGGGCCCCTGAGAGCGTCGCTGTCCCTGGGAGAGCCCATGGGAGCGCCACCGTTCTTGGGAGGGCCACCACCACTAGTACAGAAGCCCACTAGTACAGTTGTTTTTGCACGATCTAAAACTCTGATAGATATGACGTTAAAAAAATACACCGCCCATTACATTTCCAATATCATCGCAGACCTCAACAATGAAAAGGAGAATAAATATCCAACAGGAATACATAAGTTGGGGTGTTGTGCTGACTGGAGGCTCTGTTCTCCTATTGGCTGTAATTTAGTGGATTTATATTTTACTCCACCAATCACAGTTAAGTAAGGGATTGCTGGACGTATGCAATATATGCGACCCAACAATCAAGTCCCTGGCGGTGCCATCGCCCCTGGCAGGGCTCTTGGGGTCTATGCCACACCAAGTTGGGCCCCTGATGGCACCACCGCCTCTGGTAGGGCCCCTGTGGGCGCCACCTTCCCTGAGAGGGTCCCAGGAGGCCCGACCGAGCCTGGCATGGCCCCTGGGAGTGCCTCTATCCCTAGGATGGCCTCTGGAGTGTCACTGCCTGGAAGATTCCCAGGGGGCTCCACCGTCCCTGAGGGGGCTCCACCGTCCCTGAGGGGGCCCCTGGGATCTCCGCTGTCCCTGGGAGAGGCCTGGTAGTGCCAGGGTCCCTGGCAGGGTCTCCTGGAGGCGCCACTGACCCTGGTATGCACCCTGGGAGCGCCACCATCCTTGGGAGGGCCTCTGGGAGTGCGGTTGTCTTTGGAAGAGCCCCTGAGGGTCCCAGCGCCCCTGGCAGGGCTCCTGGGGGCGCCATCGGCCCTGGCACGGCCCCTGGGAGTGCCGCCGTCTCTGGGAGGGCCCCTGAGAGCGTTGCTGTCCCTGGGAGAGCCCATGGGAGCGCCACCGTTCTTGGGAGGGCCGCCACCACTAGTACAGGAGCCCACTAGTACAGTTGTTTTTGCACTACGTATTTAGATCTCTGATAGATATGATGTTAAATAAATACACCGCCCATCACATTTCCAGTATTATCGCAGATCTCAACAATGAAAAGGATAATAAATATCCAACAGGAATACATAAGTTGGGGTGTTGTGCTGACTGGAGGCTCTGTTCTCCTATTGGCTGTAATTTGGTGGATTTATATTTTACTCCACCAATCACAGTTAAGTAAGGGATTGCTGGACGTATGCAATATATGTGACCCAACAATCAAGTCCCTGGCGGCGCCGTCCCCCTTGGCAGGGCCCTTGGGGTCTCCGCCACACCAAGTTGGGCCCCTGAGGGCGCCACCGCCTCTGGTACGGCCCCTGTGGGCGCCACCTTCGCTGAGAGGGTCCCAGGAGGCCCGACCGAGCCTGGCACTGCCCCTGGGAGTGCCTCCGTCCCTAGGAGGGCCTCTGGGAGCATTGCTGTGCCTGGAAGAGTCCCAGGGGGCTCCACCGTCCATGAGAGAGCCCCTGGTATATCCGCTGTCCCTGGGAGACGCCTGGTAGCGCCAAGGCCCCTGGCAGGGTCCCCTGGGGGCGCCACTGACCCTGGCACGCACCCTGGTCGCGCCACCGTCCTTGGGAGGGCCTCTGGGAGTACAGTGATGACGAGGGTGGTGCATTAGTTGGCTGCCAATCCTTTCCAGTGCTTGGTGGTGGAGGTCACTGAGGGATGGCATTTACAGCCAACTATGGGTTTCCCAGATGAAATTTTGGTGTTTTTGTTGTATTCTGGAAGTAATTAATTGGTTAAACCTCTCAAATTCCAATTCCGAGAGAAAAGTCTAATTCGGTCAAAAAATTACTAAGGTGTAAGACTTATGTTTTTGGCCAAAAATTTGATTTTGCTGAAAATCTCATTATATGCGCTCTTGAGCATGCTGATTGCAAATCTATGATCCTCATTTCGATTGGGGGGTAATTAGTGGCCTTAATGAGGCTTGGAGTATTTTTAGGACTTTTTCAATGCTAATTAATTACTTGACCTGGTACTGAAGCAACATTAGACTTGACCTGGTACTGTAGCAACATTAGACTTGACCTGGTACTGTAGCAACATTAGACTTGACCTGGTACTCTAGCAACATTAGACTTGACGTGGTGGTTGTCACAGGTTCTCTGCTTGATCTCTCATGTTGTAATATCTAATAACATTTCATCGAGGTAGGTTGTTGCAAAGGAATGTTAGTAAAATCACCATGTATTCATTAAAGATTTAATGTGTTCATAATAACATTTGAACTCTCGTGTCCATCTAACATAACACAAACTCATATACAATTCAGAATGACCGTGAGACGTCACTTAGTGGTTAGAGAAGGGAATTTTTTATTCATATTCTGAATTTTGTATTATCATTATTATTAACCTCAAGCCTGGTGAAGCTGGAAATTATCAAATGGATAAAAACTTGAAGTTTGAGATTCTAAGTGTTAATTAGAATATTTTAAAACGGCAAAAAACGTTTTATGCTTCCAACGCACCAAGTCTCCTCACAGTTCAAAGGCAGAAGTTACAAGAATAGAATTTGGAATTTTCTTCAATGATTGGAAACGACAATATACAGTGTTTATAGAAAGACGAGTATATCTCCTTTAGCATTGTGTGATCTTTCATATCACGATAATGGGTACTGAAAAGCGTGCTTGAACTTGGGAGACGATTGCAAGAAAATAGATATGCAGTATTACCCCGCTTTACGCGGTTTCACTTTCCGCGATTTCTCATTTACGCTGTGCCTCGCCAGAACCAAACTTTCACTTTCCGCGGTGCATCTACTCATATACGCAGGAAGCGGCGCGGGCAGGATGCGCACAAGGTTGCCCAGTCATCAAAACATTACTGAGTTCTTCACCCGCCACCCACCACAGCCGGCCCAAGTCAGTGATAGTGATAATTATAGTGAGGATATGGACTTATATGGACTTTGAGGGGTTTGACAAAGAGGTCCTGCAAGCCTCTGTGGTGGATAGTGATACAATTGATACAAGTGATACAGGTGAGGGCCAATAATCTGCCCTCTGCCTCGGAACCAACCGCCCATCCCCGTGTGCCCAGCCATCTTTTCTACTAATGTAAGTGTTAAAAAAACTAATATTATTGATATTTCTCTTAATTATTAATTGTGTGTGCATACCATCATAAAGTTAAGATAATATTTTTACTACAACATAGTTGTGTGTCGTCAAAAAGTGGAGTTTGGGGGTCGGGCCAGTCTCTATTGGAATTAATCCCATATGTTCTGTTGTTCACTTTACGCGGTTTTCACTTTACGCGGTACCCTGTGGGTTCAATTGACCGCGTAAATCGGGGTACTACTGTATGTGCTCTGTGTAGTCTGAATTTAACAGTCCATTTTTTTATGCTACAACTTATAGTGCACAATACAAAGAAGCTGTGATAAGAAGTCTAGACAACATATTTGAATTACACACTTGGCTAAAAGTCCAACACAACTCTGAAAGTGTATCTTTAAATATGAGCCTGCGTCTATGTGGGAACAGAAAAGAAGTGGTGTAACAAGTTATCTCAATAGCACAGACCAAATGGAGAATTACCAAGCTTTTATATATATATATATATATATATATATATATATATATATATATATATATATATATATATATATATATGGATATATATATATATATATAGTATATATATATATATATATATATGTATATATATATATATATATATATATATATATATATATATATATATATATATATATATATATATATATATATATATATATATATATATATATATATATATATATATATATATATATATATATATATATTTCTTTTTTAATCTCAAACATTCACAACCTTGAGTAGATAAAAGTAAATATTTATGCTGTACTTGGTCATCATATTAGAAAAAGTAAAAATAAATCAACGTTTTATGCGCACGTAGAATTTCAAAATCACATACCTGTCAAAATAATTGCATTTGAGAAAGCAAGAAGTAAAGAAACAGCAAGAGAAGAGAAAACCCACTGCTGTGTAGAGTCATGCAAGATGAGGGCGGTGGTCTCAGTCAACACATGCTGGATACTGGCAAGTTTCAATGCGTAGTGGCAGTTATCATCGGAGGGAGTTTCTGATGTTAGTACAGATGCTGTGGGATGGTTCAACAAAAACACACTGATGAGACAATAAGCAAAGCCTGGTAACTACATCATTCAATAATATTTAAAATGGACTAAATTGAGGAACTTAAAAGTCATAATTGAGTATTATCAGCAGTGACTAACAAGAGGAACTAAACAATGGAAAGCATGGAGTTCTGAACCATGTGAAAACAGATGTCAGTCACACACAGGAATTGTTAATGTCAAAGGAGTATTACCAGTGATTACAAAGGGAAACAGCTGATGGGCTTCACAATGGAGCTGGGTATGTAAGTGATTCAGTAGTTATTAAAGGCCATCACAGTGGGGGATACAGTGACTAAAAGATATATATTTATGTACGATATATAATTGAAAGCTCATTCATTCAGGGTCAAAAATTTAACGTATACTATTACTGGGGAGTGTACACTTGTGCACTTTCACTTCATTTTAGGTATAGCAGACTAATTTTGACCAACTTCATATTTGATTACGTATAATAATTAAAAATCTAGATTCCAACTACACACACATGAAAGCAGTATATGGTTGAAGAACATGTATAAAACATATAAAACACTAAAAAATCTAAGAAAATTTTCATTGGTCTCAGGTGTTGGAATATTGAGTTATGAGGCAGGCGGGTATAAGGTACACCACGTGCATTTTACACTCCTATACCACAGCAATTGTCACGTGTCCAGTCAGCCTACAACATAACAATGATACAGACACACAGATACAGGGAACATATCTTCATCATGACTAGCACACGCCAGTAGTACACATCAGTAACTGGTGCGTTGTAACATTCCTCTTATTAAAGGTTTACTATGTATACAGCATTCGGTAAAAATTTCTAGATAGAAAACAAACAGTAATGAGTCAGACGTATATATTGCTTCTGTGAACTCCTGACTCCTTTAAGTGATAACGTAATTACAATGTATTATAAAATTGCTTTACACAAGTTGTAAGTAGTAGCCTATTTCTGTAAATGGAATTGCACAGTACCATCAAGTAGTACCAATTATCATTAAGGAAAATTTCTCTACATAGGAAAAAATACCCATGAAAAAAAACTCTGCCAAGGTTATTTTGATGTACAAAACGTATATAAAACATGACAAACACTTTGAGATGACTACAATATTACAATTCTTCAAAGAAAAAACAATTGTATGCATTATCTAAAATTCATTGTCTAAAACTGCAGCGGCCATTTGAGATTTTTGACACAAACCCCCAACGCCCTCTGTAGTGTATTATCAACAACCTACAACCATCTCACTGAGTATAATAGTAATATGACTGACTAGCATGGAATGATTCCCCCCAAAAATCAAGATTAGATGCATCTTAAGCTTGAAAGGTCTGGAGATACGACACCTTTACTCCCCTATATACTCTCAAAGCTCTAAGCATTACAGGTAGTATTAAGTGAGATGGATGAAGGTGTGGTGCAAAGTCAACAGCCGAGTCAACATATACACTAGATATAATAATACATAGGAAAACCATATTTAAAAATTGTGATTAAAAGCAACATTCAAAATTACTGAAATTGGGGGATAAAACTTTTACATACATACATAGATACATAATATAGAATTATATACACTCCCTCATGTACTGAAATATTTAGAATATTTTGAATGTCTAAAGTTAAAAGTAGAGGAAGTATAACTCATATTTATTGAAGTTACAAATAAGACTTGTAGCTTTTAACAGCCAATGCCAAACACCTAATAGTGCCAACTGTGCAAACAACCTAGAAGTACAAATATACAAGTTGTGCTCAAATAAGCACCGTTTAAAAAGGCATGATGCAACGTTGCTTCTTTTGTCGACATTTTCCCTCGCTGCTTACTGAACACTTGATCGCCCACTTTAAAGTGTCTCTTTATCCCTTTATTCTATTATCACTTCCATGACATTAGATAATACCTATTTTTTACTGTATATATGCTATGATCACAATGAGAAGATAAATGGATTACTTAAAACTAATACAATCTTCATGCTACTCTTGATACTAAAGAAGATTAACTATATATGTGGTCTGTGTTTTAGGGCACTTCACCTCAAGTGTCACGTCAGGCAGAACCACTTGTCAATGCAGGCTTATAAACCTATAATCAGACACTCATACACACATATGTACAATATATGGGAACTTGCTGTGCTGATGCAGTGCTCAGTACTATGTCCAGAACTTGGAACCTGAGAAAATAATGAAGAACCATGCTTGGATGCCATGTAGTGGGGGAAAAAAGGTGAGGCAACAAGTGTTCTTGGAACATAAATTCTCCAACACATTGCTTACAATCACTCAGTGACAATTGAGGCTGCTTGACTGAGTAATCTAACTTGCTAATAAGCCATCTAATATCACTGATAATAAGAACAATGCATCACACAATGAATTCACCCCCCAGATATACCAAGTATCAAAACAGTGATAACAAATCTGATATACCGTAGTGAATAATATTTAAAAAAAAATAAAAATAAAATAAAAAAAATTTTACCAAAAAAAATTAAAATAAAATAACAATTGACACACTAAACGTATACAATTTTCCCAATAAACCATATAGCATCAAGAAATAATATGGAATGAAATTATCAAGAATATTCACATATGAAAGTCAACATCATGTAAAACAATACCCAAAATAAATGGTCTTTCATGCCCTCATCACAACATTTCTTGAATTCCAATTAACAATGAACATATAAATATTTGACACTCTGTGAAAGACAACTTGTGCAGGCTTGAGGATGGGCACCACATCCCTTGCAGCTGTTAATGTGCCTTCTCACTCATCAGCCTTTATCATAGTTGTAGACAGTAAATTTTGGCTCAACAAGGCTAATAAAAAGGCGAACTCAGTCGGCAATAAAATCAATGCTCCGTTCTTGTGACATGCATCTTCTGAGATTCATTTCTTCACAAATATTTAATTTTGTTCCTTAAGTCAAATTCACATGACTGATCCCGTGCTGAACTTAAAAAATGGGCAAAACACCTAAAGTACTTTTTAATAACCACTTCATTTTCTATGAACCATAACTTTAAAAGTACACTATCTTACTCCTCTAGAATATCTTAGGTATGTCATTTCTCTTGGAGAAACTATTTATTAGCTACCTTTTCAAGACACTGAAATGTCAGCTTAAAATTTTCAAGGCTGATCACTCACTTATCAAGCAGAAATTTTCAGGTGTATCTTGCATGACTATTCCATAGGCTGAACAATATCATACACAGTATTGTTCAATTTAACATTAAACAAATAACTTTTTTTATATCTTTTTCTTTGATTCACACTATTATATGTAATTTTTGATGATTTTATGATCAAGTGTATCATGCAAATTAAATTTCAAGTGTTGAATTCCCAAATTATTTAACCAAGAAATAGGAGGAAATTCAAAACTTTCAATGTCTCTCGGTATCCAAATGACCTTCAGTTAGATATCCGTAAGTAGAACTGCAAGTAAAGTGTTTTCAGTAAACATAGTGTCACACACTTTCTGTGTTAGGTGTTAAACCTGAAAAAAATGTCAAGGAATGTCTGTACACTATATCAATAAGACTTAATAGTCAAGAGTATGCCTTCTATCTGAGATCAACTCAGTGGCATTTAAGGAAAAAGTCTTGCCCACGAACACTATTCCACTATTCGGTAATTATGAGTGCTGTTTGAACTATGATAAGACAAACATTAGGAAAAATCACAATTCCTTGCACAAATATAACTGTTCTTTGGAGAAAAAAAAGTACACACACACTATGACCCATTCATCTGAGTTTGACCTGATGGCACTGAGTTAAGAGAATCTCTTCTTGAGCCACATTCTTTTTCTGACCCATTGCCAGAGTCTGAAAGAAGATTCTCTGCTGAGCTGCTTGATACACCCCCAATGGACATCTGCTGGGGCACTGTGGAATGTGATCTGTATTGGGTAGAAAGTAATGAATTAGTAAGGAAAATGCACCATAGATTGATAACACACAATTTTAACATGAATTTCAAACTTACTCATTAATTACTAATATATCACAGATTAAAAAAAAATTACTGAAAATGTCCAACTGTACTTTTAAAGTTACCTGGTATGAGAAGAGCCATTTGAGAGTGCACGATTGCCTCGTAAGTGCTCTGATTTTGACCTAGTGTGTCCATGAGCCAATTTCTGCTCATCAGATTGGTTTGTGTACGGTTGTTCTCGAAGTGCTAGTTGGTAAGCCACTTCAAAGGCTTCCCCTAATGTGAGGATAATTTCTGTTGCAAGCTCCTAGAAGAAATATTACAGCAATGTTGTTAATCTGTCCTTAGTATCATTCATTATTTAATAGTGAACTGATATTTAATAAAAGATAATGTACATTACATGAGAGCCAGTTTATTATACACTTTCAGAAAAGAAAATCTGAATCATGATTAAACGATATGACAAGAATTCAAGTACACAAGAATTCAGTGTTGCTACATACAGCATATTTAGGTAGAAAGCCAATTGACTTAATGTCCCATGGATGCAGTCCTTCAAAAAGAGGAAATAATATTTATATTGGTACTTTTTCTCAGTTCACAATCATTCTACAACACAACATGGTGGTCTACAACACAACATGCTCACTCAATAACATAATTTTGTGGTCTGCCAGACATTCACTCAGCAATTCTACATCATACAGCCCAACATCATATCCCTTTTCAGACAAACACTTGACACCATGCAGTATGATCATGCACACCCACCGCTGCTTCCTGGATGTCCATCCTTTGTATCACTCAAAGCCAGGACATCCAGGTTCCTGCCATCCATCATTGCTTCACTTATTCCCATCACTTTTCCTTGTCATCTTCATTACCTCCACACACATATTCAGAAGCCCCAATTTTCTTCACTCTTGTTTGTTTTTGGCAACAAAACACAGAGGATGGGGTTACCGGTACTAGGAGCTGAATGAGCCATGGGCAAGCCGTGGGTGATAGCCATGCCTGAAGAACTTCCAGGCTACCCATCACTTAGTATCTCCTTTAGCCTCACTATTCTTCACAACCCCCCCCTTCCCCACCCCCCTCCCTCTTCTTAATGCTCCACCTTCCCACCCACAATGCAGGTTGTCTACATCTATCTAGTGCACCTGTTATATTACTTCTTTACATCCTCTTTACAATCCTGTCTTCTGGCATCCTTCTCGTTCATGCCAACTTCGAGAACCTTTCTTATCCCCTTCCACCATTCCTTAAGTCACACTTCACCACTCCAAATCATGCAAAAAACTAATAATTTCTTCATTAAATTTGCAAGTGTGTGAAAATACTGCACAAATAACACTTTTTTAAAAGCAAATGTTAATGACATGACTTTGCATTGTTTTGCTCATTCAATGGATAACAGGTGCTCAATTTTGGGAGCTGTTTACACGTCTTTCAACATAAGACAAAAAGTTAGCTTATTGTGGGGTTTTATATGCATCCCAGTTTGAGATCAGCTTTTGGTATATCTTATCCCATGTCTTAAGCATGATTCCCCTCTCAAATTTAGCTTTGTTTTGACAATTAAACACCGGCCATTCAGTGTTAACACAAGATATCATCCCTGCATTATGCTGTCTCCATAAATCAATGCATTACATAATTAACAATAAATTACACAATTCTACCAATACAAGCACAAACGTCTTATCAGACCTGGCAAAACTAAATCACACCCAATACTCACCCTTGACTGTACTCTGAAGACGTGGCAATAGTGTCCCTTAGTCTCTAAGTCTTTGGTGATGTAAGCAAAGTGTGAGAGGTCATCAGCATCCTGGCAGGCACAGTGGATGTTGCGGATCTCATGTTCACACACCAATGCCTGAAGAGGGAGACAACGTTTTTGCCAATGTGATTATAATTGACAAGAAAATCTCAAAATTTTTCCTGTACAGTACTGCACAAAATACAAATACTCATGGTTGTATAACTATTGGTAATTCTTGTGAAAGAACAATAGAATACAGGACATGCTAATGAATAACTTAAGTGTGATGATGCTTTTTCTACCACTAGCTGGGTTAATATAATCATAAATTAAACGTTTTAGAACACACCCAAATGCCATTACACAAGACAACTACTAACCTGCGTTAAAGCATCAATGAACTTGACACCTCGATATGACACGGAGAGAACAATTTTTGGGATCTTGGAACCCTCTGAGGTGGACTTCTTCAGTTTCTGGATGGATTTCATTGTGGATTCTGTTCCTTTAAGCTCTTTCACATGGGTGGATCCAAGATACTGTGTGAGAGTATTACAACCATCGAGGTCAAATTACTGTACTAATGTTTATATGGTAAAAAGTTCAGGATATAGTACAGTAGTCAGGTTAATGAATACAGTATATCCAATTTCATTATGTATGTTACTTTTCCAAACACTGTATGTAAATAGAATAACTATCCATGAGGAGGCCTATCATACTAAAAAACAAAATCCAAACCTTTTAACATCTTGCCATAAACCGAGTAAGACATCTATAACATAATGTACTTTAATGACTTGTGTTATCATAAACCTTATTTAAGAGAAATAGAGGAGAGAGGGCCGGAAATTAATATACAGTACAGTAAAAGCAGGCAATGTGTATGTTAAGTACAAAGGTTCAATAATATTCCTAAGAGTTATGATTAGCATTCAAAAGCCATCATATTATTACAAAGTCAAGAAGCAGAATGTGAAAATTTTATACTGGGGGATAATTTAGTGGAGATATAAAGTTGGTGGAGGAACAAACTATGAAGGGAAGGATCACTGCACCAAAAACCTTCTAACATATAGGCATAAATGAACAGTGTTAGGCGCACACACATACACAGAGAAACAACAAATATAGCTCACCTGTGCAACATACTGGACACTAGCAGAGACAAGTGCATTGGGGTGGTGTCTCCAGGTGGTGAGTACTGTGTTGGGGACTCCGACCACTAGCTGGGAGGGGTCACGGATGGACAAGTGCCCTAGCTGGTCTGTGCTGCCCTGCAAGTCCAAGCTCGGCTGTGCTCTGGGGGTCCTAGTGGGAGCAGGAGGAGGACAAATGTTTTCTAACACATAACTCACTCTTCACCACCACACTGTACTCTTAATAATGTAGCCCTATACCTCATCCTTCTTACAACACTTGAGTAAAACGATGATGAATATCCGTAAATAACATATACACAGACTGAAAATAATACTAAACACGTAATGACCACCAACATAAACTATCATACAGTCACCAGTATGATCACAGTCACCATCATAAACTATCATACAGTCACCAGTATGATCACAGTCACCATCATAAACTATCATACAGTCACCAGTATGATCACAGTCACCATCATAAACTATCATACAGTCACCAGTATGATCACAGTCACCATCATAAACTATCATACAGTCACCAGTATGATCAGTCACCAGTCACCATCATAAACTATCATACAGTCACCAGTATGATCACAGCAGTCACACAGTCACCATAAACTATCATACAGTCACCAGTATGATCACAGTCACCATCATAACTATCATACAGTCACCAGTATGATCTACCAGTCACCATCATAAACTATCATACAGTCACCAGTATGATCTACCAGTCACCAGTATGATCATCACCATCATAAACTATCATACAGTCACCAGTATGATCAGTCATCATAAACTATCATACAGTCACCAGTATGATCACAGTCACCATCATAAACTATCATACAGTCACCAGTATGATCTACCAGTCACCAGTATGATCACAGTCACCATCATAAACTATCATACAGTCACCAGTATGATCACAGTCACCATCATAAACTATCATACAGTCACCAGTATGATCTACCAGTCACCATCATAAACTATCATACAGTCACCAGTATGATCTACCAGTCATCATCATAAACTATCATACAGTCATCAGTATGATCTACCAGTCACCATCATAAACTATCATACAGTCACCAGTATGATCTACCAGTCATCATCATAAACTATCATACAGTCATCAGTATGATCTACCAGTCACCATCATAAACTATCATACAGTCACCAGTATGATCTACCAGTCATCATCATAAACTATCATACAGTCATCAGTATGATCTACCAGTCACCATCATAAACTATCATACAGTCACAAGTATGATCTACCAGTCATCATCATAAACTATCATACAGTCACCAGTATGATCTACCAGTCATCATCATAAACTATCATAGTCATCAGTATGATCTACCAGTCACCATCATAAACTATCATACAGTCACCAGTATGATCTACCAGTCACCATCATAAACTATCATACAGTCACCAGTATGATCTACCAGTTACCATCACAAAATCTACCATACAGTCAACGCCATAATCTACCAGTCAGTCATATCTTAATACAACAATCACCATAATACACTAGAACGTAGTTATCAAATAGGCTACCACAAGTCACCATGATAGGGTACCATAAATCACCATGATAGGCTACCATAAGCCACCATGATAGGGTACCATAAATCACCATGATAGGCTACCATAAGTCACCATGATAGGGTACCATAAATCACCATGATAAGGTACCATTATTCACCATGATAAGCTACAATTAAGTCAACAAGATAGGCTACCATAAGTCGCCAAGATAGGGTACCATAAGTCTCCAAGATAGGGTACCATAAGTCTCCAAGATAGGGTACCATAAGTCACCATGATAGGCTACCATTAAGTCACCATGATAAGGTACCATAAGTCACCATGATAAGCTACCATTAAGGGCCAATTGCAAGAACGGTTATGGGGTGTACGGCGCCATTTACGATGACCTTCTTGCCCTGGTCTTTTTTCAGCAATATCGCCTTTAACACATGGAATTCTGCACTTTTCGAAGCTTTGGAGGAGTCACGAAGCAAGTTTCCTGGTGGGAATTATTAGCTAGTGCTGTACTCAAAATACCGAAACGATCGAGATCTCTCCTGAGCTTCAAAAGGGTGGTATAACTGAAACAAGATCAGGGCAAGAAGGTCATCGTAAATGGCATTGTACACCCCACGACTGTTCTTGCAATTGGCCCTAAGTCACCAAGATATGCGACCATAAGTCACCATGATAAGCTACCACTATTACAACTACTACTACTACCACCACCATTACTATTACTAGCACAACTACTACCACTACTATCAAAACTACCACAACTATTACTACCACCAGCCAGCACCAGTCACTCTTGGGGCAACAATTAAACACAATTCATCACAGCTTGAACAAACAGAAGAGAATAAAGGCGTAACACACGAGATAACAAGGGTGGTGGTAGTTGTGGTAGATGTGGTGGCTGATAGTGGTAGTTGTGGTGGTGATGATGGTGATGATAGTGGTAGTTGTTATGATGATGATTGTGGTGACAAGCTTTTTCTAATCCACAAAGCTCAGTTGACTAGGTGAAGGTATGGGTCAGGTGGGAGTTTGTCCATACATCCGGGTGAAGAGGGAGAGAGGAGGGAAAGTAGGAGGAGAAAGGGGAGGAGAGAGGGAAGAAAGAGCTGAGGTGGGAGGGAAGGAAGAGGGAGGGAAGAATAGAGTGGTAGGAAGAGAGAAGGGGAAAAAAAGAGGAGGAAAAGAGGAGGAAAGAGAAGAGAGGAGCAGAAAGGGGAAAGAAGAAAAGAGGGAGGGAGCAAAACGTGGGGGAGGAAGAAAGAGAGGGAGGAGGAAAACAGTAGGAGAAAGAAAACAGAGAGAGGGGGGAGAGGAGGGTGGGGTACTCACTTGGGTGGCTGGGGTGCGCTACGCTTCTTGGTGCCGGAGCGACGGATGGTGTTGGTGGCGGTCTCTGGCGGCCGCCTCTCACGACACGTGGAGGAGGGCAGGTCGTTGAACAGCTGCTCCTTCAGCTGCGAGATGTCAGAGTTCTGGAGGAGAGAACATATCACTGTAGTCTGCAGAGGGGTTAAACTATCATCTTCTACCTCAAAGGGCTAAACCATCATCCTCAAAGGGTTAAGTATGAAATGTATAAATATGAGCCTTCCCAAGGCTGTATGTCAGGGTGTGCTGTATGTCAGGGTGTACTGTATGGCCAGGTAGTAGCGCATGGCCCAATCACTATATTCTAGCTGTATGGCCATCAAGAGGTAGACTTCATAACTCAGTATCACAACATAACAACACACAACTGAGCTACGTGGCAGTGTAAGTATTAACAGTTTAGTATGAATGGCGTTTACGAGGGCGCGTCATAACTTACCAATTTGGTGAGCTCCAGACTAAGGTCATGCGGGTTGAGCGCCGGCGGGAGCTCCGGCTCTAGAGGACGTTCTCCTAGCGAGGCCAAGATCCTCTTACGGTGGCCGGGGCGGGTGATCTCCAGCACGGTGGTCAGCTCGATCTCCCACACCTTCTTCACCCTCTCCATGTCGCCGAAGCCGTTCTTGTGGAAGTTCTGGGCGTATTGCGGTAACCGTATGGAGTCCAGCCACGCCTCTACGGTGTCCGGGAGGGTGTAAGAGGAGCGGAGGGCGTGTAGGGGCGTGGGCAGCCGTGACACAGCCTCCTGTAGGGTGTGGAGGTGCGCCTTCTGTGTGATGCCCAACTCACGAAGGTCTCCCAGCTCCAGGATGCCGCCATTCTGTAACACCACCACGTACACTATATGTTATTACGGGTGTTCAAGTTATGTGTGTGTGAGGGGAAATACCACCCACTCACCCTCATTCCACAGACATATAGACACACACGGGTCCCAGCACCTTCAACAGTTTAGTCTGGTCACTAGTGTAATAATCTCACACCTCCGCCGTCTGTTTCCACCTCACACTCCACCTCCGTGTGTGTGTGTGTGTGTGTGTGTGAGGTCGCCAAGAACTACAAACAACCCAGCTTCCTGCCCATACCTGTACCCCAGTCATCCACACAGTGAGGTTCACACTGTGCACACACCCTCATCGTGCACACACCCTCATCGTACACACACCCAGCCTGCAGGTAACCCCACACCTCCCGTAAATCTCTCGTAAAAGGTTACTGCTCACACAACATTGTCTTGGATGCATGCACAAACACACATACACACACACACACACACACACACCCAAGGGAAGGAGTTATTACACCCAGAGGAAGGGAGTCATGCCACCCAGGGAAAGGAGGGAAGAGGAGTCACCACCCAGAGGAGGGAAAAGGAAGAGGCACACCCAGAGAAAGAAGGAAATACCCCCAGGCTACCCTCGACACGCCCCGACAGCTGAGACAGTGAGGTGTATGATGACCTCACCTCAAGATATACTCTACCTCTCACAACACCAGGTAAAGAAAACACCAGATAATAAACAACAAAGAGAGAAATGAACCCCAGGAAGTATAAATGACAAAATAAACACACAAATACCACAATAAGTAACATCTCATCACAATTCCAAGTTACTAATATATCATTCAGTAAAGCTGTTGATTCTTGGGAGGTGTAGCGAGGCACTTACTCCCACACAGTGCCGAGGTACAGTAGTGTGTATAGATGCGGACTTCTACACACAGGAAATACTTTTGATGCTATTTACCAGTGTGAAGAAGTCCGGGTAGTGTGTGTGGCTGTGTTGAACTGGACTCTCCACTTAGAACTTGTGTATACAACCACACAGTCGTCACCTTCACACACCATTTCCTACCAGGGGAGCCTTGTTGGTCTCATCCTTTACACACACTACTCCGCTGGTGAACTTTCATCTGTATTCTATATCAGGTAATGTTCAAAGGTCTCTGGAAATGGCACAGGAAATGCAGGACACGTAATGTCGTAACAATTTCATATTGGTAAGAGACGCGGCCCAACATCATGCATGACGTGCCTGTGATGCCGCATTTTCCTCTGTCCTGTCTTGGTCGTCGTCCGGAGGTGAAGGTGAGTTTAAAGTCTTACCTATAACGTGATGCGCAACTTGAAACTGAAGATACAAACATACATGCATACATACATACATACATACATGTTATACATACATGTTATACATACATAAATATAGTAATAGTATATCTGTATTTCTCGCAGATTCTGGAGGAACACCAGACGTCCAGGAGGAAGGACCAAGGAGAGGTGAGAGATGAGGAAGGACCGTGAACACAAGAGAGAGGACTGGTAAGGACTCACCATAAAGTCAGTGTCATCATAGCCGTGGGCGGCGAAGACGTCCTCGTACTGTGGGAGACCCAGTGCACGCAGCCACCCGCCCACCGTCTTGTCTCCCGCCTCTACCACGCCCACCTCCACGCCCCCAACACCCTCGCTGCTCCCACTGCTCGACAACAGACCCAGACCCTGCTGTGATGGCGACAGTGACAACCCTGAAACAGACAACACCAAAAACTTTACTGAAAATTGTTGTGTTAAAAATTTTTTTAATGAATATGTGGGCGATAATTACGTGGCCAGAGGCTGACTATATTAAGTAACGCCAAAATACAACATTATTAAATACCACATTACCAGGCGCCCCAACTACTGACTACCGTTTCGTACAAAATGTTCTGTCACATGACCCTGCAAAATATTATGAACTTAAACCCCTGAGTACAAGTCGGTGTACACTAAGGGTTAAAAACATCGTATTTAAGGGATAAAGTCATTTCTATTTTAAGTTTTAGTACCCAAGGGCTTAAGATATTTTACTCGATGACCTAATTCACTGTACTATACTAAGATTACTATCGTGTCCATGGGATAAAAACAACAACAACACTACTTTCTCCATCTCAAATCTGGTGGCACAGCAAGTCTATATAGTTAATGTTTGGGTGTACTATAAATAAGATATCTTTCTTAAGCTTCACCCAAACGTGTCCCCCATCTCCTCCCACCTTCTACTGCTTGACCCTCCCCTTCCCCCACCTCCTTTCCCTCTACTGCCTGGCCCTACCCTCCCCCCTCTACAGCCTGGCCCTAACTCCCGACAAGTTACAAACAAAAAAACTAACTATATATCTTGGACCTAAATTGCCACAATCTACCATTCTACTCCTCTCAACTCTATCGCCTCGATCTAACTCTTAAACCTCGTCGCTCCCCCATCCCTCCTTCCTTCACCTCACCTCTCTTTCCCTCCCTCCCTCACCTCCCCCACCTTCCCTTACCTTTCCCATTCCTCCTATCTTCAATCTTCCGCTCAACCTTAAACTAAACTAACCATGATGAATGGGATCCAGTCCTAATAGGCCCCACCCTAACCCTGGAGGATTGTGCTTCACTCCTAATGGGTCAAAATTCTAATGAGCTGCACAGGTTACGTTGGCACCCATTAGGACTGGAGACCATATAGCCAACACCTGGGGCACATAACCAACACCTGGGGCACATAACCAACACCTGGGCCATATAACCAACACCTGGGCCATATAACCAACACCTGGGCCATATAACCAACACCTGGGCCATATAACCAACACCTGGGCCATATAACCAACACCTGGGGCCCATATAGCCAACACCTGGGGCACATAACCAACACCTGGGGCACATAACCAACACCTGGGCCATATAACCAACACCTGGGCCATATAACCAACACCTGGGCCATATAACCAACACCTGGGCCATATAACCAACACCTGGGCCATATAACCAACAACAGGGCCATACACGTACCTAGTCTGGTCTGGAACTCATGCTCTAGCTCGGCCATGAAGACGCTCTCCCTGGCCAGGCCGCCGCCGAAGCTGGCCATGATGTCGTTGATCCTGGCCCACTCCTCGGCCTCCTCCAGGGGTGACAACAGCCCCATGCTCGACCCACCACTGATGCCGCCACTCACTGACGTGTCTCGTGCTGTTAAACTCCCCATGCTGTTCCGACATCCTGAAGGAGGCGGCGGCGGGGGGGGGGATCATATATGGGATTTAATAAACATCCTTCACTTTTATTATTAAGTTTCAATATATAGATCATACTTGTGTGTGTGTGTGTGTGTGTGTGTGTGTGTGTGTGTGTGTGTGTGTGTGTGTGTGTGTGTGTGTGTGTGTGTGTGTTTGTGTGTGTGTGTGTGCGTGTGTGTGTGTACGTACCTCTATCCACTGAGGACCTAAGAGCAGAAGATGTGACCAGGGAGCGAGGTCGTTCTAAGGCAGTCACCTCCCCTGATCCTTCCATAGGGGTGATACTCCCACGGAACAACCCTGTGGACAACAACAACAACACAGGTCAGGTCAGGTTAGTGTAGGGTTAGGTTAGGGTTAGGTAGGGTTAGGTTAGGGCTAGGTTGGGTTAGGTTAGGGTTAGGTAGGGTTAGGTTAGGGCTAGGTTGGGTTAGGTTAGGGTTAGGTAGGGTTAGGTTATATGTACATTAATCATGTTGTATATAATGAAGCCTCCATATAACGGATTTCTATCTCCATACAATCCGTTAGAAGGGGTAGGTTTCATATCTAACGGGCACTCAATATAACGAACCTTCATCTCTATATAGTTCATAAGATGGGAAGTTTCACAATCTAACGGACCTCTTAATCTAACGGACCTCTCAATATAACGGACCTCTCGATATAACGGACATTCCTCTCCATACAGTCCGTTAAATAAAGGATTCACTCCCCAAACTTTTCTTCATCCACAGGTAAAGGTGTGCAAGGGATCCTAATGACTAACTAACCTTCAACAGTTTACAATAATACCAGGTGATTGAGGCTAGCAAACGGTCCTGTTATCTGTGTTACTGATAAGATTACTGATAAGGTTACTGATAAGGTTTACTGTATAATATCACTAAAAAAAAAGTAATCATTATTTTCTGGCATAGGACGTCGCTTGCCTCACTCATTCCCCCTAATCCATCCCCGCTGTACCTTCCGTCAAGTTCTATTACATACAGGTGTGTTTGGGTCATTCAGGTAAACAGAGATTAATTAAAGTGTATAAGTGGTTATTATATTTATGTATGAAGTATGATTTATACTCTCTCTCTCTCTCTCTCTCTCTCTCTCTCTCTCTCTCTCTCTCTCTCTCTCCACCAAAGCACATTTCGTAACATCTTTAAATTTTGCGTAATTTTCTTCCCTGTTAAACAAACGAACAAAACAGACAGAGAGAGAGAGAGAGAGAGAGAGAGAGAGAGAGAGAGAGAGAGAGAGAGAGAGAGGCCTACTAAATCACAGTCCTCCCTCCCATCACTCATCTTCCTCAATTACCTTATCTTAATTGACTAATCTAGTAACATTATCAGGAGGAGGAGGACGAGGAAGGAAGAGGAGGAGGAGGACGAGGGGGGGAGAGGAGGAGGAGGAGGAGGAATAGAAGAAAGAAGAGGAGGAGGAGGAAGAGGAAGAGGAGAGAAGGAGGAAAAGGAGTAGAGTTAGATCATCTGGCAGGGTTGTGGTATAGCGTGTTCTTGCCCCCCCGACATCATGGCCGCTGGTACATAACGTCGACAGCTGCTGAACAACCCTTTGCCCTGGCTTGATGGGATCCGATGGTTCACTGACGGCTCGGGTTTGGAGGCGTCGGGTTCAAGGCTTCGAGTCCAAATGACAACTTGGGATTCAAAGTCACTGTCTTAAACTATACCATACTGTCGTTTACTACCATACTGTCACTTATCACTACCATACTTATCACTACCATACTGTCGCTACCATACTTATCACTCCCATACTGTCGCTACCATACTTATCACTACCATACTGTCGCTACCATACTTATCACTACCATACTGTCGCTACCATACTTATCACTACCATACTGTCGCTACCATACTTATCACTACCATACCACCCACAACAACAACAACAACAACAAAGCACGCCATCTATGAGTACAACCTACAAGCTTCCTCACAACAAAAATCACCTGGGCCTCACTATAGGAAGTACTCACACACAGCCCCGGTTGGTACACCTTCAGGCACCCTCAGAAGACATCCAACTGAGACACAGGAGGAAGGTGGGAGGCATGGATGTTAGTTTCTCAGTCATTATAAACAAGACTAATAAGGGGAAAATATAATAATGGTGGATATACTGATGACCGGGGTTATGATGCAGAAAGATAACGAATAGACTGTAATGTGGTATTTTTTTTAACGTAAGGGCGAAGGAAGTTTAGTAGTAGAGGAAATTGAAGACGTTCAGATGTTGGCGGAGTGATATGATCCTCTTGCTACTGATAACCTAAACTAATAATAATAATAATAATAATAATAATGGTTTACTAAGAATATATAACACTCAAAGGCTGAAAATTAAAATAAACATAAAATATATACAAAACACGGTGACATTGAGGAGTGAACCACTTAAAAACCTTCCGAGCGAGATGAGACCACTGGGGGGTGACCTTACAACTATGAATATAAAAATTTTCACAGTGTTTAGAAAAGGGGGATTTGGTCTGGTAACCCTGATGCAGCTGTGATGTCTAACAGCTGCACGTGGACGGTACAAAAGCTCGGTGACAAACTAATAGTTGGAGACACGATGATCAGAGGGAGGTGAGAGGTTACTGTGTGTCTCTTGATGGGTGGGGTGAGGGTGTAAAGGTGTGTAGTGGTCAGGTAGGTTACTGCAGCTGGCTGGCTGGCTGGCTGCATCGTAAGTTCTGGCACTAAGCCGGCAGTCTACCCTATATTTACTGGATATAAGGGCCATTTTTGTATCGTATTTGAACAGGACAATGAATAGAGGGTGGGGAGGCGGTAGGGACGCTCAGGGGGGTGGGGATGGAGGCTGGGTGAGAGAGGAAGTGGGGAGGAGGGTGGGGAGTGGTTTAGTGCCGTGGCCATGACCGCCTCACCCAGCCAAGTGTCACCATGCCTCATCAATCAACAACTCAACGATAGTATATAGGAGTAGAAGCACACCCCTACCCCCACCACATCCCTCTACCCCCACCACACCCCCCCCTGGACCTTCTACACACCTTCTACACCCACTCTACACCCACCATATCCACACCAGGAAGGAAACAGCTAAAAATGAGAGCCCAGGAAACAATACCCATCCAATGCCTCGCCGAAGGAAATAAAACCACACTTATTATACCAATGTTAACCTACCAAGCAGTACCTCTACACACACACTGACCATCACCCAAACACAGATTCGTCCCAGGTGAAAGATACTCCCATAGCTGAACTAGACACAGGCCTGACAATAACACCCACCAACCACTAACTATGGACCTTGTTTAGTAGAGTAGGTAAAATATAAAGCAATGTGATCAATAACTCCCACCAACACTCCCACTAGACTACAACAACACTATAGGCAGTAGACAACTTCCCTGGACCAAAAGGCACCAGCAAGGTCGGTCGGAATACGTATTATTATGGCCTCACATCACACCCTGGACAATATAGGTGGTAACCAAAGCACAGACCGAGTGACTGAATGGCTAGTATGCTGATAAGTGGTAGAAATGATGAAATGGTTCAATTAATACAACAAAAATCAATAAATCAGAACTACATCCATCTCCATCCCTCAAGTTCGTTTGGACTAAGCTAGGATGGCCAAGGGTAGGGCTAGGATGGCAAAGGGTAGGCTAGGATGGCAAAGGGGAAGGCTAGGGTGGCTAAGGGTAGGCTAGGATGGTCAGGGGTAGGCTAGAGAGAGAGAAGGGGGAGAGGGAGGCAAGGTCTAAACCACTATACCAGGGACAGAGAGAGAGAGAGTGTCACGTTGCGTCACCAGCGTCACGCCCACCCTCAAGTGTCCCACCCACACGTCATGAATGGGTTGCTCTCACCACCCTGCCCGCCCTAACACAGTCCACGCCTTCACCTGACCACACCCGCCACCCTTTACACCAGAACGGGGAACTGAAGTCTAACCTAACCTAACCTAACCTAACCTAACCTAACCTAACCTAACCTAACCTAACCTCCTCCTAGTTTTCTTCAATTACCTGAACTATTAACCCTCTTCCTCCCTTCCTTCCTTCCTTCCTTCCTTCCTTCCTTCCTTCCTTCCTTCCTTCCTTCCTGCCTGCCTTCCTCTAAGCTTCAATCACCGTCTTCTTTCTCCACATAAAAAATAAATTATGTTGACTATTGGTTGGGTGGCTCTGTGTACTTATTCACTCACTCACCTACTCACCCATTCATTCATCCACCAACCCACTCACCTACCCACCCATTCATTCATCCACCAACCCACTCACCCACCCACCCATTCATTCATCCACCAACCCACTCACCTACCCACCCATTCATTCATCCACCAACCCACTCACCTACTCACCCATTCATTCATCCACCAACCCACTCACCCACCCACCATCCTACACCTGACCACATAGTCAACACGTGGTTCACCAGTGTAAGGCAAAAACATCTAAGCATGGCACCAGCTGAAACTATACCAGAGGAGGAGGAAGAGAAGGTGTTGTAAGCTCACACCAGAGGGGAGGGTTAAGTACACGAGAGGTGGAGGAGAAGGGTGGAAGAGGGAAGGGGATGGGGTGAGGTGGAGATTGAGTATACCAGTGTTGGAGGAGGAAGGATGGGACTGCTAGAGGGGTGAGGGAGAGGGATGGGGGAGAGGGTGACACAGTGCTGAGGGGTACATGGGTCAGGGGGAGGTGGTACAGTAGTGGAAGGGTAGGGGGATAGGATTGAGGTGGGGAGGGTGGAGGGAAGGGTGAAGGGGGTGAATTGGAGGGATATGAAGGTGGTGGAATGGAGGGGTGGAGGGATAAGAAGGAGGGAAATGGAAGGGCAAGAGGGAGGGAAGTGGAGGGGTGAGTACTTTTAATGCTATTAAGGTCACACAGTAGCCACTTTGTCCCCTGAACACAACACTCCTTCACTCGCCAACACCTGACTATAAGATGACCCACACTGACTCACTAACCCACAGCTGACTATAAGATGACCCACACTGACTCACTAACCCACAGCTGACTATAAGATGACCCACACTGACTCACTAACCCACAGCTGACTATAAGATGACCCACACTGACTCACTAACCCACAGCTGACTATAAGATGACCCACACTGGCTCACTAACCCACAGCTGACTATAAGATGACCCACACTGACTCACTAAGCCACAGCTGACTATAAGATGACCCACACTGATTCACTAACCCACAGCTGACTATAAGATGACCCACACTGACTCACTAACCCACAGTTGACTATGAGATGACTCACACTGACTCTAACCAACAGTGTTTTAT